TATATATGTACATACACCACCCTTTCAGATCAGATGATAATCTTTGTACCAATGTGTTAAGTGGCACACTTTATCTCTTTTCCATATTAAAAATAGGCACATCCCGCACACTCCTTGCTCAAATTACATACATTTTCTTTAAGATTAGGGCACGCGTTGTAACAGCAGCATATAATTTTCCTGCACAATAATTTTTTTCCAGCTGAAAGGTATCCTATAATATCATTAGAATCAACATGAACAGACACCTGATTTTCAGCTAAACAAAGCTTATATGCTTGGTGACTTTATTTCCTATAAAGAGCAGTTTTCAGATATGGAGCAGCTACATGAAAATTTGAAAACAATCTGACAACTCATTTTTTGACCACAAAAATCCTAGACCAGAAGGTGATATAAAAATTGTAGCAATAATAAGATGGTGTAATTTTTTTCAAATATCCTACTTTTGTTACTCTAATTTTATCCGCTCTTAATTTTACACAGGTTCAGAAACAAAACAAAAGCAACTTCCTTTCCAAAAGCTATATGGTTTCCTTGAGAGACTATGTATACAGCCTAAGACGTGTTCATACATTTATGAATTCCTACTGTTGAAACTGCAGTGTATCTAATTATGGATTAAATGGCTGTATTTATCCCAAATATTTCAAAATCATGAGGATGTTCTGAAGACAAAAAGGTTAAAGACCAAATTTCTACTACTTAAACAAAAAGTAATAGTTCTCAAAATCCTTTATAACTCTTTTGGAATCTGTAAGTTTTCTGTGCTTCAGAAAGCACTTCAGAAGGAACGTAAGACAGCCGATCAAGGAATCTTTGCATAGGGCTATGCTGGTTATAAAATACATATTTCCAATTAAATAATTTTTCAGAGATATTGGATGAAATTCTCTGCTGGAGAAAACACTGGAGTACAAACCACCATACACTGGAATATAAGCCAAAATATATAAAAGTTTGATTTTGTTTTAAAAATAACCTATTTATAAAATTACCAGCATCATGAGCATGTCCTGTACTCAAAAGCCTGTCATCTTCAACTACTATTGATTGTTTCAATAGGAAAGTATCAAGATGATTCAGGTGTCAGTCACATGAGTATGCAAGAATTTTACACAATTTTTAAGTTTAATGGTTGCCAAGAAATTTTTAAATATAGAATTGTACTTAAATATTTAGAAGGTGAAACAAAAAAATATCAGTTTATAAACAAAACAAAAGAAAAAATAACAATTTTTAGGTCAAACCTATGCTGTTTTCTGTATCAAATTAATATTAATTTAAGGATGGGATTGACATAATTCAGAAACCATAGTAAAATAATTCCATTAAAAATACGTTGTCCCAGTTGGGTCCTTACACACAGTTTCATTTGTTACAAGTCCATGTCCATCCTGCATTTGTTAGAGCTGACAAAAGCAAATTATGTTTTTAAAATAAATCAGTTCTAACTGAATTTGCCCTTGTGAGATAGTTCTCACAATGTACAATGCAACCATTTCTATTTACCTACTACCCTTTACTATTAAGGTCAGTCCTGAGATTTAACTGCAAATTTAGATATCTTTTGGATGACATATGGCAAGATCTCCAACTCTTCTTAGCCTAGGAAATCTACATCTGCCTGTTCGTTCAAGATGCTAAGCATACGTGTGTTGACGAACACAGAAAATAGCAGATGGCAAAAAGTAAATGCTCAACATGAAGCACTGGGGATCATCTCAAGAAAGCTTGGACTCAGATATTTGCCATTTTATTTTAACAGCAGAATTAAGTTTAAAAATAAATTTCACCATCGATTATGCTTGATGTTAACGAAAATCTGTGATTAGAATACTCACCATTACAGAATGAATACCATATCAATTGCAGTTGGTAGCTGAGATCTTACCTGCTTTATAAACGCTTTAATTTTAAAATAATTAGCACAGTACAATTCTTCAGAAGGTTAACTTCTGCAGCTATGCATAAGTCAGAACTCTCTGTATTGACCACATAATTTGTCATGAAGTCTCTTCACAGGCAGTACATGGAACTGTTCATCTGCCATTCCAGCTTCTAAACTGGACTTACTCTGCTAAATCACTACCACCACAGTGCAAAGAATTGCCTGGAGCATCTGCATGTAGATCTGCTCATACTGATACTACTCCCAACATCTCCAGTAACAACTTTAGAAAACCATAAACAAGCATTTTGTGAGTTAGAAGCACACAGCCACTAAGAGCTCTAAGTACGAGCTTTATTTGGGGAGCAAAGCGGTTACCTCACAAGAATGGGACACAGCAGGTAAGATGAAAGGTCAGTCCAGTCCTATACTTCTTACTAATAACGAGCAGTAGTGGAAACCTAGGGAATGGCATAACGACAAGACAAATATATAGCAACACCTTCCCTTTTATATTCTACCAATATTCAGAAGTCCACAGCTTAGGGATTTGCTGAAGCAGACGCACTAATTTTTGTGTTAGCATGCGACGGTGGACCTTTCTTTCATGAATATCTAACAACTCCTTGAACCATAGAACCCCTTGAATTCAGCAACGTCTATGGCAATGCATTTCACACTTTAACTATGGAAAGTCCTTTTAATGAAGGTGAATGTTTTGTAGGCTCCAGTCGCTCCTATAGCCAAGGAGTTGGTCAGGTGTATAAAAATAACTGGTTTGTTACCATCATGCCTTTACGCCTGTCACAGACTATAGACTGACTGTGCTAGATGCCCTATTAGCAAATAGACAAACAAGAAAACTGTAACAGATCAGCTACAAGAAAAAGATGAATAAAGACAGGACATATGGCAACAGCAACAGACAAGGAGCAGAAAATCTGCCTTGGAGAAAATATTTACAAGTAAGCACCAATGTGGCTTTTTAATAAAAAGAAAGAAAGAAAGAACAAAAGAGAGAGAGAGAGAGGGAAATCCAACACTAATAGTAAAAGAATTCTGAGCCAAATAATGTAGGAGGAAAAAAAAAAAAAGCAATCCAATTTTCTAACATTTCCCATTGACTTTTCAAATAAAGAACACTGACCACTTAGTTTGGAAACGCACAGATTCTAAAGAAGAGTTAGCTCATTAAAATATAGTTTTAGCAGCAGCAAAGTTTAGACAGCTGTAACTCCTAGAATTTTCATTTTATATGAGTCAAAATAATTTCATGAAAGTATGGTGATATAACACTGCAATTCAGTATTTTTTTAAGTTGATATAGAAAAGGTGTAGTTTCAATTCTGTTCTATTTTATTCAGGTGGCAAACAGCTCTGAAGAACATTTTATATATGATTTTAATTTAATTATTATACATAGGTCCACAATGAAAGAAATATTAATTCCATCATAGTATTCTGTTTAAGTTAGCCACCTATCTGAACAGAAGAGATATTTTAAATTGTAGCCCCTTTATTTTCATTAAGAACAAAGAGATTATTATTAAACTTTTGTTTCTATTTTACTAGTAATTCAATAAAACAAGAAATGTTAGGGCATCCAAGAAAACAACTACTGCTGTTAACAGTGAAACTAAGAAGCTTGGTTTCCAAAGCCTTCTCCTAAATTGATTTTTCTAATATAACAGTGAGAACCAAAGGATTTCTGTCCAACATCTGCCTGCAAGTGTCTTATACAGTATAAAACTTAAAAATCTTCTTTGTGAAATTTATCTGAAACTAATCTGTGTACTTAAAGTTATTAAGAGGAACTAAGATGAACTAATGTACAGCAGGACTGCTTAGGAAACCCAGCTGAAAAGTGAGAGTATCAAAATGCATTAATTCACAATACATGGGTGAAACAATCTTTAAAAAACTTTAAGAGGACTAGAGACAAAAGAAAGAGACAACCAAAAAAAAAAGCATGAATTTATTTCAAACCTAACAAGAGCCAACTCCTCCTAGGCTGGCATTTGCTTTACCTAACTTAAAAAATCCTACTCTCTACCACGTTAATTCTGACATCTCAAACCAAGCAAGAGAGCACACGCATGGCTAATCTAGAGCCCTGCCAATACTGACTATCTAGCTAGCAGCTATCTAAAAGAATCAATATAAACCAAGTTCTGCTCACCGTCTTTTGGTCAGGAACACTAACTTGGGCCTTTTTTCTCTAGCAGGCCACCAGGTTTCATGAAACTCAAAGGAGCTTAGTTATCTTGGAATTTCTATTTGTCTATCAAATGGGGTTGAAAATGGTCAACACTATCAAAAATAATTGAGACTGTTTAATTACATATGCTTCCTTTTCTCAGAAAGTCAGGCCAAAGTGTGATTTGAGGAAAAAGCCAGAGTCCAGGGGAAGGAGTAATACAGCAGAACAAAGAACAATATGAAGTAACCTAGTGAACCTCTGAGATTCTTATGCATGGATACTAGAAGAACAGGAAAAATGAAGAGAATACTGAGACCATGAAGTCTTAACAGACAACCAAAAACATGACTCTACACAAATGCACCAGAAGCCTTTGAATAAAACCTAAGTTAACAATCACACACTTTTCTCCTATATATTTTCTACCTCACTACTGCAGACTGTCAGGGAGAACTTGTTGTTCTTTGAAGATGCTCGTTATTTAGTGTGAATCGCATTCAGGACACTAACTGCAGGTGTGATAGTAAATATTACAAGTACTGATTAGTGCATTTCATGACTATCTACTTCAAACAATGAATGCCCTTTTTCAACCTGCAAGATTGATTACTATTTCATCAGGTGCTGGATGAAACGTTTGGCTCAGTTCATTCGCAAATGTTTAGCAAAGCTAGTAGATATATCAATATTTTGGAACTAGACCACTACCCCCTACTTTTTGTAATATAATGATAAATCGTAAGCTATCAACATTTATTTCATACTTAAACCATCCTAAATGGACTGATAGTATAAACACACTCTGATTAATCACATTTATACAAAAACTGTAAAATGAAGCCTGCAATTACTAGTTTATTGGTTTACAGAGTTATTTTTGCACAAATTAAATAAGAAAAAGATACTTACTAACAAAGCCAGTTTTTGGTACTTTCGTTTTAGTTCTGTCAGACTGTCTGTTGGCTTTGCACCCAAGATCTGGTACCAGTCCTTTTGAGTTATCCTTTCAAAGGCCATAGCTGACTGGCTAGGAAATTACTTTCGTAGCGCTGCTTAACAAAATGAAATAATAATTATAATTTGAAAAGAGCATTTGAAAAATTAAAAGTGATGAAATAGGACAAACTACAGGATCATGACTTAAAGCAGACTCCTATGCACACAGAAGCTCCAAACTTGCAGTAGTTGATTTATCAGAAACCTCTTGCTATGGAATAACAGTTTCCTCAGTAGAGCTTCATGCAATTTTTTTCCATTGTCAAAAAAAAGGAAAAGGCTATTTTTCACTTTAGCATTAAAAAATGGTTTCTGACGACTTCTGTTCACCTTCAGATTATTTTATTTTATTTTTTAAATAGGAGAAGCTTGCCTCTCAAACTTTGCGGAAAGACAAGAAGAAAGAGGGCAGGTACGACTACAGGAGAAAGTCTTCCATTTTCCTTTCCGTAAGAACCACGCAAATATTTCCATTCCCACCCCCCGGCCCGTACGCTTCACCACGTAAACTCCTTTCCTCTGCATGATCCCCAAAGGCTTTTAAAACTAGACACACAAGCGCCCCCGGGGCCGCGCTCTCGCGGCGCGGCTCACCGCCGAGTACGAAACAGCCAGGGTGCCGCAAAGGA